CAACTTTGTGAAGATTGAGTGCGTGTGATGCAGTCTCAATCACTTATTCTGCATCAGGAAAACTAATCCTCCGTATTAATACAAACTCTCAACCAAATGAGTGATCACTTGAACATCTGTCAATCAATTATATTGCGTCAAGCTAATTTTTGCTTATCTTGTTTCAGGTTCTTTCAGACCCCTCGACGGAAGAATAACATCATCATTACTTATGTGCAAGGTATGTACGTGGGCGCAGGAAAACTAACTGTTCCGTGAAGTGCGTAAGCGGTGACGTATTCTACAGGGCTCAGAGTCCTAAGAGCTGCTTTCTTCCGCAAACAAGATCTGATAAATCATGCATGAAAAGATACAGGAGATGTATAATTCCATGTAGCAGCCCAGTCAGTTGTTATGGCTTGTGCCACGTAGAAAGGTTTAATTAACCAACGTGAAAATTAAGCCAAAATGATGGATTGAGGGCTACCTCATCGACGTATTAAATCCACAACGTCTTCTTTTAACAAGCTGCAAACTTCAGCAGTTTATCAGAATATTTGCGATATTTAAAGGTTTATCAACTTAAATGATTTTTAAGACGTTTTGCTCTATATTTGCGTCAAGGTGAAGATCAGCTGTTTAAGTTGGTCTGCTAAAGTCAACAGGACTTACACAGCAATGTTATCAAATTTATTTGAATCTGGAGGAAATTGATGATAAAGAAATTCTTCCGCTTTAGTAAATTTGCATAAATGTAAATTTTTGTAATTTTACTGTATTCTCTCACGCTCTGTAAATCTTGACAGATATCCAAAATGGAAAACAAAACATTTATAGTGTAAACTTAGCAATAACCTGTTTTTGTGGGATAAACCTCACCGGAGATAACGAACCAGATATTGAAGATCAATAGCGTACTTTTTAATTTGCTTGCGTTAGTTAACGAGCGTAATAAATGAACTGTCTTTACATACAAAGACTGTATTTACTGTCAAATTGCGTATCCCCGCTGCTTATGCTTAACAATATCATAGTCCCAGAGATAACAATGTTTGCTCACTCACATAATGCTGCAGCATATTTTCATTTGTTCACCTTTTACGTATACCTGGGCTCTTTTCCTACATTACTCATTGGAAGGAGCTTACAGTCAAAGCCCTTTAAAATGCAAGACTGACAGTGATTTAGTCTACGAGCAGTAAAGACGCAAAAAGTATGATAATTTTCATATTGAAATGAAACTTGACTCGAAGCAATATTTGTATTTTTTCCAATAACTTAAATTAAAGCAGGTTTCAAGTTTCTCGTCACTAATATTTTGAACAGTTGGTAGTAAATGGTCAAAAAGGAAGAATGAATCTAACTTTGCACACAAAATACCCAAAACCTCCAATAGTTCCTAAACTAATTTAACCATGTAATAGTAAATAGAAACTAAACAGTAGTCATAAAATATACTATTTTTGTTGATCGAATCGCAAGAGAAAGCAAGATCGGGTCAAAATTATGACAACAATAATGATTATTTTTTTATTATTATTGATTGTATTATAACTTTAATTACTATATCACTCTTATTTCTGTTGTTATTGGAACTGTTACTAACTTCGATAAATCAAAATGTAATGTTTGTAAAGTTTATTTCCTCCAAATAACTGTCATTTAGCGTCACTTAAAGATGGGTAATCCAAGATACACAAAGAGTAAATCTGTATTGGGCGACATTCCCACAAAGCGCATCCGTTTTTAAACTCGAGTAAGAGGCCTTAACATCCAATTACCTTTCTTCCCATTTGATCATAAAGAAAGATCTTCAAAGTTATTTTGGGGGTTATTAAGACCTTGGACTGAGCAGCTTCCTAGTGAAGTAGACCGCATTACTTTGTTTCGCTGTTCGCGGTTTCGTCATGGAAATAGCTGAAACGTAATGAATATCAATCGTGCATGTGTTTTGTCACGCGCGCACATCGTGTTTGCCCAGTCTTTATTAGACAAATTTTAAATTCCTACGTGAATGGTACTTGAAAAATGAAAACCCTTTCACCGACTTCGAATTAAATACCATTGGTAACATGACATTTCACCAAAAACAACTAGAATATATATTTATAACATTTACATGTAAATCGTGTCCTACTACATCACCAGCCTGTACGAAAATGGCGGGCCGCATATTTACATTTAGTTCAGTGGGAATCATATCAACCAAACTAACCAGCTAGAAAGAGCACTAACTACCAATAACGAAACGTGTTGATAAACACAAACAAAGTAACTACAGATGATAGTAGTTTTTTGTCGATGTTCAGCTGGCCTGAGCCGTTCGGATTTGTCTCGTACAAGATGACCATCGTACCTTCAACAGTCTTTTCCACCAGTTTACAAGTTGTTCCAATAACAATTAATGTGTTTTATCGAGCGAGACTTAAAACTTCGAAGCCTTGATTCTTGGTGTCTTCTGGTGTCTTCAAGAGACACTGTGAGGTAATCTCGTGTAGTGTTTTCGTTTCTCCATTTTTGTACTTCACAATGGTTCTCAAGTCAACCAAGTTGTCTTTGATTCCTTCCTTCATAGTCTGACTCCCTGCTGATGTATCCAAACTCAAATTTCCTTTGTCATCCAGCAGCCTTTCTCTCTCGTAAGTCACCCTTACAGCTCTATCCTCCGAGATGGAGACATAACTCCGGTACATTGAATAGTACATTCGAATATGATTAAAAAGGCCAAACTGCACTTTTAAGAGAGTTCATTCGACAAAAACGATTATTAAGCCCGTTCAAAGAAATTTAGGCTTACGTTTGACAATTAAAGAGTTTCTAAAAATACTAGCTCCTATAAACTTTCAACAAACTAGCAAAGCGATTTTTACTATATATCGGAGTCGAGTACTTTTAGTCTTATGTACCTTTTCGTGAATTTTATCTCTGTCTCTGGAGTGGCCAAGGTCGGTGATTGATGAAGGCTGCTGATAGAGATGTCGACATGGCTGGCCATGTTGATAATCTGCGGCCGAACCAGCTGAATGAACTGCAGTCGAAAACCTTCAGAAACTTGAGATACGTTCGGTTTCTCTACATCATGCGCTCTCCCTGTACTTAGTTCACACAAACAGTAGGACAATTTTACTTGCTGGTTTTCAGGCAAGCAGGGAACGTTCCAAACATTCACTCTCAATTACTTCGCATGGCCGCCCCGAAAGGCGGGAAAAACCAATATGATTTTTCACTTTTGTGAATAAAATCGCGTATCACTTATTCAGGCTTCTGATTGATCATACGGTAATTTTCACAAATTAGAAAAATCGTATGACCAATGGATTTCTTCTCATCAAAGAGAGACGATTTTTATTCAGAGGGTTTGCACTGAGTAATTATCTCGAATTGATATTCATAGATTTACAGCAGTTAGTAAAATAAAGCTTTCTTTTATATAGATCAATTTAAAATTGCAACACTTTTCCCTCCTATTTTGATCTAATATAATGACGAGCACCTGCTTGAAGGCCATAATATTTGTAACCAGTGAGAAATAATTCCCGGTATTGTTGTCTAAGAAGAAATACTCTTCTGGAAGCTTGGCCTAATGTCGTTAAGAAGTAATCGCAAGTAGCCTCGCGTAAATAGTTTCACAAATATACCAAAGTTCCACAAATTTCCCTCCTCACTTCGCGACTTGGGAAATTTTGTGAGAACTTTGGAAATACGAGTGATGATAATCCTCATAATCCTTAGTAGTTCCTCAGTGCGTAGTGTATGCTTTTACAAACACTACGCACTGAGGATTATTCCTCTTTTTCTCCTCCCTCTCTAATAAAGGTGGATTTGCAATGTCGCGTGAGTTTTTCCGTACGTTAAACGTGCGTAAAGTGCGTCAGCAATATCCACTGCGGTGTTAAAATCAATATGTTTAACTTTTCTCTGTATTCTTGCGATTGCAGACGTGCGAAAAATTGTTTTCAAAATTTTTTTGTAAAATTGTTTTTTGTTTTTTTGTAATTGTTTTTCAACGCACGCTGACTTGCGTGGACCAAAGCACGACAGCAGAAAATTAGTAAAGAAGCGTGCTAATGAATATCGAGGGGAATATTTTGCCCATTGTGTTATTTTAAAATGTTTTAAAATATTTGTTTCTTAACATGGAAGACAGATGTACCCTAAAATTTCAGAAAAGTCATAAGTTGACTAAGAATCTAGGTAACAAATTTTGGCATGTTCACAAGCTTGACATTTTTTTCCGGGTTCTTTCTGTTCAGAATATCACGCGTCAAACATTCGCTTGAGCTCCATAACTGCCTTATGTCGCAACAAAATATCAGATCTTGTTCAATGCCTATGCCTGGAAATTTTAAAGCTTTGTTCAAACATGGATCATCTCTTTGTACTTGATGACATAATCCATAACAATCGTGCCTATTTAAGTCAATCTCCCACAGTCAGAAGTCAACCCTTTACTACGCAAAAAGGGAGTCCATATGAACGACAAATACGGAATTAGATCGTTTTCATGTCATAAAACTTTTATTGTGATTACTAAAATCGAAGCAAGAACAAGCCAAATACAAATTTAGACAAACTATATTTCTAGAACATCCTCATTTGAGGGTCGTTAATAATTGATATGGATGAAAACTTGGAAGTATAAAAAGCGGTTACGGACTTTCCAAGCTAAGCTCGAGATTTCAGCAATCTAAAAGCCAAATAAAGTGCTATTTTGATGTTCATTACTATCATTATCAC